GTTGACTGTTGTGTTGTTGACTGAGAGAATAGGAAAAAAGTCTGAGTTGTTTTTTCAACACACAGAACAGTACTAGTCCTTTTGTGACTGGTTTGCTTCATTCAACATGATGACATAGGGTTCATCCATGTGTCAGAATTTCCTCCTTTTTAAGGCTAAGTACTATCGCACTGCACATATATATCTCATTTTGTTATCCATACAGCCACTGACATATATTTGGATCGTCTCTACCTTTTGGCTATTGTAAATAATGCTCCTATGAACACTGGTGTACAAATATCTGTTCAAGTAAAGCTATATTTAATAATTACCTTTTCTATTCCACTAATTTTCACTTATTCTTTTTTTTTTTTTTTTTAAAAAGGGGTTTTCCCCTTTTCCCCGGCCAAAGGGCCCTGGCATCAGCCTAGCTCACTGCAACCTCAAACTCCTGGGCTCAAGCACTCCTCCTGCCCCAGCCTCCTGAGTAGCTGGGACTACAGGCGCATACCATGACGCCCGGCTAATTTTTCTATTTTTAGTAGAGACGGGGTCTCGCTCTTGCTCAGGCTGGTCTTGAACTCCTTACTTCAAGCAATCCTTCCATCTTGGCCTCCCAGAGTGCTAGGATTACAGGCATGAGCCACCACGCCCCAGCCTGATTATTCTTACAATTTTACTAACTGTATAATTTCAAATTATCTGATGAAAGGCAATTATTTCAAGGTTGAAATAAATCCCTGGTTTCTGTTAAATTAACTAAGAGCAAAACAGTTCCCACATTTCAATGAGGTCTGCTTTGGTAAAAACAAAAACCCTCTAAGGGCTTAAAAATATTAGACCACGCAGTCTGCCCTGTTTCTAATCCATTGTGTATAGTTGAAAAAGGCCTCTATGCGACACGGGCCCCTGCCCCTCGCCTGCTACACAGAAACGAGCAGGAAACCTAGGAGGAGCTTCTCAGCTTCTCGATTCAATGACATCCCCCGAAGCCTTCTGTTTCCCTGTGGCCAGATAAAATCTCTTCTTTCTCAGAGTGTCTGGCAGGAGTTATGTCCTCTGACATTTATTTTGTACTTACCCAAATTTGAACTTGTCCTTGCCAAAGATTCTCTCTTGACCCAGCTCTAGTCAGGCTCCTCGGAGCCTCTTCTTGATAAGGCACTGACCTTGGCCTGTGCAACTTCCAGCACAAATGACTTTTGTGTGTGTGTGCTTTAACCCTCCAGCAAACACCAATGACTTTGTCCAACCCCCACACAGAGGCCTGAGCAAATGGTGTCAACCAGAAAAGGCTGTGTCCGCGGATGAGGACACCAGCCCCCTTAAAGTGTCTGCCCGAGGAAGCTCAAGGTTGCCAAAACCATTTACTGTTCCTGCCAACACCTGTTGATAGGCCCCAGCCTCCCCTTCTTAAGAGCAGGTGTTTAGGAAAAAAAAATGCTTACAACGATAAATACTCCCTATGACGCTTTTCCATGTGTATGTCTCCCACACCCAGTAATGTCTCTCTGGAGGACCTGGGAGCTCTCCTTTTGAAACACAAGAAACACAGTCATCCAGAGAGAGACGCCTCAGCCCTCAGCCTCTGGGGGTGGGGCAGGCGGGGCAGGAGCCTAATTCACAAGCCCAGATGAGCAGACCCAGACGGCCCAACTGCATGCACCTACAGACTGGCCAACCCCCGTCCTGCTTTTCCGTGGTTTCCACTCCCCAGCTTCCACTGAGGCCCTGCTCTGTCCCTCCCTGCTCCCCGTTCCCCCTCCTGCCATCTCTGCACAAACTGGAACCCAGCTTACTGCAGTAGTTACCCAGTCACCTCTGTCTCCGCCACTTTCAATTATAGACAGACTTGTTTATCTCTGACACCTTTTAGGCTGCATGTTCCTTGAGGCAGGTGCCATCTCCTTTCTAAACATTTTATTCCACTTGGCCCACAGAAGGTGAAAGGCGATGTGCTCTGCAGTGGGGACTTGCGTGAGAGACAGTCTCTGACCTCAGTCAGTGCCCACAGAGCTTAAAGAAAGGAGCACCGAAGCCTAATAGGGTCTCCCGCAAAGCACAGTAACAGCACCGCCATTTTATGACCCCAGGAACTCCTACTGACTGTTACTAACACAGCCTCCATTTCCCTCCCAAACACGGCTTGTGAGCAGCAGAGCTATGAAAAACGCCACCATTCGTCTGCAGGTTCCCCAGGCTCCTCACCTCGTCCCCTTTGATTTGCGGTGGCCTCTTCACCACCTCTTTCACCAGGTGCAGCAGCGTGTCGGTCTGCAGGGTGCTGAGCGCACAGATCAGGTCGACAAGGGTCAGCTGGGAAGCGCTTGCCACCGGGACGATCTGCTGAGAAAAAAAATTCCTTGAAAGCTCACGGAGAGAAAATAAAAACAAAAGTGATGCACAGAAAGCATTCTGTCATAGTTGTTGCTGGAGAAGGAAATTTGTTTTAATATTTTACACAAGTATTTCCCCCACTGAACTGGGTTAGAGGACTCCATTAATGGGAATAACGTATTCCGTATCGGAAACAAATTAGGAATAAAAGGTGCCATCGATGATGGGGCGGTAACATCGGTATGTTTCAATTTAGAAAGCGTTTTAGAAACAGATATACTTAATTTGAAGGAAATGGGCTGGCACCAAGAGATGGAACCAAAGATATGAGGACAGGAAGAAAAACAGACAAATCAGCTTCACATTAGCAGGATTTGGCAGGGAAGGCCCGTATAGGAGCCTTATTTTTGATGACAGAAGTCTGCATAATGCAGTCACAGGCACGTTGGAGAAAACCAACCAGCATTAGGTTTATTACCAGGGAAGGACCCTCAGGTGCTAAGGAGAGTGGCCTAGGGCACTAACCACTTGCTCCTCTCCTTGGAGAGCAGGGGCCCGAGTCAGCCACAGAGGCTGAACACTGAGGAGAGTCCAGGAGGTGAGGTCCCTCTGAGGGAGGAAGGAGGTAGGAACCTCGACCGTGCATGGGGGGACCAAAGGAAGAAGAATGTGATGGTTTGGTCCAAACAGGTAAACCAAGCCCGGGAGGATGGGGCTTGGTCAGTGGATAAAGAATGGGCAACCTGTAATCCTAGCACTTTGGGAGGCTGAGGCGGGAGGATGGCTTGAGGTCAGGAGTTTGAGATCGCGCTGAGCTATGATGACGCCACTGCACTCTAGCCCAGGTGACAGAGTAAGACCCTGTCTGAAAATAAAAATAAAAAATGGTGAAACTAATTCAATAGTTTCCCATGTCAGCCTCCAACATCACCTTTGTTCCACATGACTCTTTGGTACGTCTTTGTCAGGAAGTTTAATCACTCTTTTAACTTTTTAACCCTACCTTCGTCTTGCTGTGACGCTGAGCTTTCTTTTTGCTCCATACTGCTGCGACAGCCGCTGTTAACTGAACCCCTAGATGGGCTGTCAAGGGGTTTAAGAAGTCTAAAATTTTTTGTCTTATGGTCTAGAAAATAGGGAGAAAAAAGTTACTGCAGAGTAGTATCAGGGCTACCGTGTACTACATATTTAACCACCACCATAAATACTGAGCAGGCACCCTGTCGTGTTAGCAGCCCAACACCCTGCCAAGGTGCTTCACTGCCGGGTGGATCCCCAGAAAAGAAGTTGGAGCCCCTCCGTGAAGCAGCTGGACGTGTGACGGTGGCATGCCACGCCAGAGGGAAGGTGCGGTGAGCGGCTAAGGTGCAGAGACATCTGGCTAGCTGAGCTGATCAGGAGCCTCTAGGGAAGAGACGAATTCCACCCCTCGCAGTGTGAGCAGGGCGGGGCTTGCTGGGAGCCCCTCGATGCGTTGCAGAGGCCAGTGAGCCCAGAGAAGCCAAGCAGCTGAGTGAGCGCTACGTGCATCTGGAAATCCCATGGCCCGAGCGTGTCTCCAGCAGCCGAGGAAGGGCTTACATTCACTAGGAAAGCTGTTTCTCAATTTTCAGAAATAAGTACCACATACCTAATTTTATTATTTAATCGATTTAGAATAAACCTGTAACATGGCCCTAGACGTCACTCCCCACCCTCCCTTTTGCTATTCATGGATTTTCTCGGATCCCTGCTCTGTGAATCCTGCGGCTCTCCCAGCCTGAAACACCTTACCCTAGTGCCACACCTCACCCTGGGGTCTCAGCTCAGCCACTCTGCTCAGGAACGCCCCCTTCCCCACCTTCCAGACAGGCCAGGGCCTGCTCACACCCTGCATTTCTCTGAAGCACTTCTCGGCGTCATCGTCCGCTGCCAGTTAACGTCTGTCTCTGGCGCGAGGGCGGGGACTCCATCTGTCTTGCCCACTGGCTTAGCGAGAAGGCCTTTGTCACATGAACGCGTTTACTAAGCACTTCCGTGTCCTCACTGCCCATGTTCATTTCACGTTGGATGCAGCGCAGCCTGGCATGGAGCTGTCCCCACCCCCATTCCGCTCTGGTTTCTGCTCTTGAGAGACCACTGGGGAGGTCCCTGGGTTCTTCAGGGAGGGCCAGGGGTTACGTGCTCAATAAGCATCAGCCATTACTGCAATTAATCTCTCCGTCAGCCCATGATATAGGATACTAGCAACAGCCTCCTTCTATAGGCGAGGAAACCAGGCTGAGAGGCTGAGTGCTATAGGAACCTACTCTAAAGAAGTTCAGGAAACCTTTTTTCCTCATTCAGTAATAAAGGTTTTCTAATCTTTTTTAGAGCAGGTTCTTGTAGCAGCTCAAAATACAGCAGAATTCCCCTCCAGGGCACCCTTGGAACCCATGGAGAGCATTTGCGCTTTGTAGTATCTAAATGCAGGATGGCAGGGCTACCAGGCACTGCACCTAAGCCCTGAGGCCACACCTGGCACCTGGGCACTCTCTCGACTATGTCAGATGTGGCAGGTAATTCTGAGCCACCGCACGTGGTAACCCTGAGGATCAGAGGGTGAGTCATGTGCCTAGAGCCTGCCAAGGCAGAGACTGAAAACCAAGGGAGAGTAAACTGTAAATGGTGTGATAACTCAGAGCCTCCCTGACATCCACCCCGGTGGGCCCGTGTTGCAAAGGCCACTAAAAGCAGAACACAGAGATGAGCTGTCTTAAAGGAAATGCTTTAGAGACTTAGGTGAGGACGGAGGTGCCCCTGCCTCAAACCTCTACAGACTATTTCTGACTAAAAAAATAAAGGCAAAGGAAACACATAAGAAAATAAGCTGAAACTGCTCATGCTTCTCCATTCCAGGTATAGGAAACCTATTCATAATAAATGGGAGATTTCTACTTCTGACCTCTAGCTTGGGTTTCATCTGTTTGATTATTTATGTACATTCCTATACATATCCTTTTTTGTTGTTGTTGTTGGTAAAATACAAGACCAAATGACAAAACCAGAGAAAGGCCTCTCACCTTCGTGGTTTTGAAGTAAACAGAAGAGGATCCCTTGGTGGCGCCCAGGAGATCGACAGGTCTCTTTTGAGTCTCCTCCTTCCTGAGAACATTCCAGAGCAGGGCCATGGTGTTAACGATTCGAGGCAGCTCTTCCAAAATGGCATTCCTGGCATTTCTCAGGTTGGCAGGATCACCTACAGCAGTGGTCTGAAAATTGAAACAAACACGTGAGACTCGGCTGCGTCCGTGGCAGTTTCCCTTCCCACGAGGGCCGCAGAGCTGGTGGGATTAAGTCTGGGCTGTTGGACTCTCTTCTAAGCAAGGCACACACGTCGTGGTCTGGAAGCAATGTGCTTCCCTGTGCTACATTTCACCACACGGCTTTCTTTCAAAGAGAGACAGCTGTGGGTCTGAGGCTCTGAATTACGAACTTTTCCGATCATTCTGCCAAAGCGTTAGATGTGCTCTAAGATTTAATCCCAGACAGGGCAGAAAAACAAACAGCCAAAATGTCTTCCAACTCAGATTTTGTGAACACCGTGACGGCAAGTAAAAAACATATGGAGAAAGATGACTATAAGCCTAAAATCAAACAAGTGGCTTTACATTTTAAGCCACAGCGTTACTGGTAGAACAATGGGCAAAGGGCTGAAGGAGCCCACAGGGAGAGCGGGAGAACAAAGCCACATTTGCATCACTTATGCACCTACATTTTCATGCACACTTGCATCACTTGCCTTCATCTGCATACATATTTGTACCACTTACATGTATTTGCATAACACATATACACATTTGCATACACAATTGCATCATTTACATGCACACATTACTCACATACATTACATATATATGTTACTTATTTGAAACAGCCATAACCCAAAGAAGACAAAACAATATGTGAACATTTCCTAGAACTCAGGGAAAAAAGCTTACCTTTTTGTTTTGGTTGGGTTGTTCCAAAAGACAAAAATGACTAATGGTGGTTAGACCTTCCAAAAGAGTCAGTGGATAATCCGGAGAAATGTTTTCCCTCTTGGAGGTTGTGCTTTGGTGAAGAAACAAGAAATTGGTTTTGAGAATTTTTAAGGATGAAGCCACAAAGGTTTTAAATTTTACATATAAATAGAGAAACCCAAGAGAGATCACTATCTTAAGTAAACTTAGGCTCTCATAAAGAAATATGCTCATAATAACGTCAGCCATCTTTTGTGCTATTATACATTCAAAGAGTCACTTTGTAGAAATGGTTTAATACGTTTTAGAATTTCTGTGAGAGTGATTCACATTTTTATTTCTGTTTTGCAAAAATAATGGAGAGTAGCCAACTTGCCCCGCAACACTGACCTAGCCTGGGTAGCTGTGTGGAATTAAAAATAAAGGATCTGAACATTTAGTTCCTGTTACCCGTCTTGGCAATGCTAAATAGGCTTCAGATCAGGTTGAAATTATCCTCTAACGGATATCCATGGCAAAATGGCCATTCATTACAAAAACTATCATTAAAGCAATAAAGATGCCGCCAAGAGCTCAACATACCTGACAGAGAGCTTCACGGATTCGCTTTCATACTGCTTGACCAGATCGTCCAAGTTTTTGCAAATCTGGACAATGAAGGGCGTCACTGTCCAGCCCAGGGACTTTCCAAAGTAGGGCAAGGAATGCGTGACCAAGCTCACCCAGGCTGGGTGCATGCCATAGCCGTAGGCGGGCTGCAGGCCCCTCACCACCGCGGACACCAGCAGGCCCTGGGACGTGAGTGGGTGGGGCTGCACGTACTGCAGGGCGCTGATGGCCTGCTGGAAGTTTAGGGCCTTCTGCCACTCCCGGGTCAAGTCTGGCTGGTTTTCCGCCTCCTCGTGGACCCGACCCAGGTGGTGCTCCAAGAGAATCAGCACCTGTAGGAGCTTGAGCAACTCGATCTGCAGTGGGTGCTCGCTCCAGATCTGGTCCTGACCCAAGTTGATGAGACTCTCCTCAAAGAGGCTGTCCTCGGGCAGCGCCCTGCCGCGGTCGGCGGTGGCCAGCCCGTAGCGCTTCTGGCTCGTGTACATGGACGCCGACAGCGAGAGCAGGACAAACTCCTGAACTTTGCACCTCTGCAGCAGGTTGTGGATGAACTCCACGTTCTTCCCCTCAGAAGACTTGGCCACTGAGACCAGCTGCGTCATTATCCGAATCAAAACCTCGACGCTTTTGACCTGCACGTCCCGGTTGCCGAGTATGTCTCGGTGGGAGACCTTCAGGTAGCAAGGGTAGTAGGAGCGCAGGAAGCTCAGACAAAGGTAGGTGAGGAGCTCGAGGAGCAGGGAGTGGGGGCACACATTGGGGGCCTGGGTCTGGAGCTTTCCATAGAAGCTCTGGCCGATGAGGGCCTCCTGGTGGCGAGCAAGGAGGTTGGAGATGAGATTGAGGTGTGCGGTGGAGCTGGTGTCCATGCTGGTCTTGGACACGGCCTCAATGAACTCCTTAGGGTTAGTTTTGAGCACGGCCTCTAACACCGAGAAGGCGTAGAGAACCCGCCGAGAGTCGTAGGGCTGCAGGTAGAGCAGGATGTGCTTGAACAAGGCCTCGATGGCCTCCTGCCTTTCCCGCCGCTGCTTCAGCAGCCGGGACGTGGTGAGGGCCTGGAGCTCCAGGTCGGCCTCCTCGTCGCTGGAGAACGACTCTGAAGCCTGGGTCTTGTCCGAGTCCACCCGCGCCAGGCTTAACTTGGTGCTGGACTTGAAGCTTTCTGACTGGAAGGCCGCCAGCAAGGCCGAGCGCTTGGGGTACGCCCGGCCCCCCAGGGGGATGGGTGCACAGCAGTTCTCCTCGTTGCTCAGCTCCTGCGGGTCGTGCGAGGGGGACGAAAAGGAGGACGTGTTCTCGCTGTCTGTGTGGCCGGAGCTCGTGTCTGCAGACTCGGTGTGCTCACTGCTGTCCGGGCCGCTGTGGGCCGTCCTGTCCGGAAGGTCCACGTAGTAGGGCAGGTCCTCGTCGCTCAGCTCGCCTCTCGGAGGGCACTTCTCGGGCTCCTTCTCCACCTCGGCCCACATGGCTTCGCGGTCTACCGTGGTGAACTGGCTCAGGGGCAGGTGCTCCTCGGAGCCGCCTTCTTGAGGCTCAGACACCCCACACGTCTCCTTGAAAGAAGTTTTCTTCCTGTTGAACCAACGATGCAAGTCCTCTGAAAATCACAAAATGACAAATGACTTTAGAACAGAAGGGTTATTTAGCTATCATAAATTAACTCTAGGGTGATCTTTGTCTTAAGGGCAGACAGAAGATCAATAATCATAAAAATCCCCTCATGAAACCACACCGCCAGAGTCTAGATTACATTAGGGACAAAAGGCTGACAAAGGAATGTGAATGGGATTTTTAGAATGTTCAGGGATAGGGTAATTTAGTTACATTGCCATAGAAAATTTAAGTATCACAACTTTTTTACGAAGGCGATTTAAAAATAATACATATTGTTTTGTCCCAGGAATTCCCCTTCAAGAAATGCATCCTGCAGAGATGTTAGCAGAAGGCTTTCAAAGGTGTAAGGACGACGGTGTTCATGGAGATGTTACGTGCAAAGCAAATGGAAGAGCCACGTGAAGGGGCTGATGGGACACATCAGGTACATGCATGCCATGGACTGCTGTTCAAGTTTGCATGTACTGACACCGAGTAATGTGCAGGACACGTTAAGTTAAAGAAAAAACTCGAGCTGCAGAGCAGTATGTATAGAATGAGCCCAACTAGGGGAGAGTACCTGTAATACACAGCTATGCAAAAAGTCTGCAAGACTATCTGCCAAACCATTAACAGTACTCAGGTCTGTCAACTGGCATTACAAGGGACTTCCGCTTATGTCTTTATGTTCTTATTCCCATTTTAAAAA